ATTTGTGGAAGAACAAAAATTGGCTTTTGCACCATGATAACGCCCCTGCTCACACATCGTTGCTTGTGCGCGAATTTTTGACCAAAAACAACACACTAATGATGCCGCAGCCACCGTATTCCCCAGATCTGGCCCCCTGTGACTTTTTCTTGTTCCCGAAACTGAAGAGGCCCATGAAAGGACGACGCTACGCTACGATTGAGGAGATAAAGACGGCATCGAAGGAGGAGCTGAACAAGATCACAAAAAATAATTTTTTGAAGTGCTTCGAGGATTGGAAAAAACGTTGGCACAAATGTATAATATCTGATGGGGATTACTTTGAAGGGGACAAAATAGATATTTATGAATAAATAAATAATTTTTGAAAAAACACAAAATTCGCGATACTTTTTGAACAGACCTCGTATGTACAATATGTAAAATATACTAAAATTTTCAACATTTTCAACTCTAAGCGACTAATGATTTCTTACTTACTAGTGACCAGCACGTTACTAAAGCTACATTGGATGCACATGCGTCGGAAACCCGGCCCGTCTAACAACTGGGCCCGAAGGAACAGCTCAGTATCAGGCTGTTTCTCGCCCTGATGAAGTAGACTGAAAGGTTTATGAAACGTTGGCATTCCAAGAATGGATCTGAACACGGAAGAAACCCGTAAAACGCATAATCTTTATAATGAAATAAAATCCTTAAATTGCGCCAATTGCAAAAAGAATATATATTTTCTTGCGACATATAACATTCCAGCAAATGAGAATGGATTAAAATGGATTAAAATTTTTTTAATGTGTATTTTAAATCCATGAAAATAATTGAATGGATTGAAATGGATTGAATCCGAGCTGACACTAGTTTAATATTCAAAAAAAAAAAATTTATATTTAAGGGTTACAAATTTTATTTCTAAAACATTTAATATATATTATATCTGAATCAATAATTATATCTGAAATTAACTACTTTAACTTGGTATTAAAAAACACACTTTAATGGAATTCGAATCTGGAACCTCTGGATTATGAGTCTTCTACGTTATCCGCTACACCACTTCTTCAATTGGTAAATGTTGTTACGTCCGGCGGACTCACGCGACTCTTTTCTTTCATAAAGATCTCGAATTCCTCGAAGCTCTAAAATTTTATATTCTATCCTTTTTATTTTTCATCTTAAAAACTAAGAATCCGTTATCTCCTCATGAATGTCGCTCCGAGATAAAAATCAATGATTAACGCCAAGATTAACAATCAAGTCGCGAACGATTTTCGCGAATTCGTAATTATAAAATTTAAGAAACGGCACGCGACGTTCAGGGGTAGATTCTGGGTGGTCCCGTGGCGACGATGCGTCCGCGACATTTCGGCGCCCGAAACGTACGTTTCCCCATAAATCTTAGGGTCATAAAATTTTGGAGTTTCACTTTCCCACTCTATCGATTCCTGTCAACATCTTTCCTCCCCCAAAAACTTGACCAATCTAAGAGCGAAAGAAAATCCTACTCCCAGCTAACGAAACCTATTCCACCAATCCAAATTTGAGTAATCTGCGGCGATTAGTATAAAAATCGCGATTCCGCAACCCCCGAGTCAGTTCACAGTCAGTTGATATAGACAGCCAGTTCACAGTCAGTTGATATAGACAGCCAGTTTACAGTCAGTGAGATACCAGATTTTTCTCTAAGTTCCGGACTTGTACTTGTCGAGCGATAAGTCGCGATACTCAAAGTTCCCGATAGAATCAGTGAGTTGGTCGCGATACTCGAAGTTCCCGATAGAGTCAGTGGGATCAAGTGTATTATCGCGATTCAAGCTAATTCAAAAGCCTGTTTCCTAATCGAAGAAGTCCGTTGAAGCTAACAGTAACATCTGACGCCACCTTGTCCGCGGTTGGGCCATCTTACATCATCAGTAAGTCAAAATTATTTAATATCGGTTGGTCCCCTCCCCCCGTCTTTCCCTGTTGCTTTTTGGGACCCATTAAAAACTATAAAAATTTTAGTGCGTTCACGCCGTCCATTCGCCCCTCGTCGCCGCCGCCTGACGAGAACCGCCCGCCGATCGCGTAGATTCGCCGCCCGCGCCCGGACTTTTCACCTAGCGCAACAGACAGTATCGGAACCGATTCAACCGATTCCCCTTATCCAATTCCCCATAGACACCCTATCTCCCCCCCTCGAGATCTCCTATTCCCCGATTTCCAACCCATCCCCTATTCCTACAGTTAATATCCCCCCGCATCCACCATCACCCCCTCAGGTCGATACCACCCCTTCGACCCTACACCACGGGTATTCTCCCGCTGCTCCCTTCCCCCATCTTTTCCACGAGGCCCAGGAACTCTTAGAGTTCATGGAGCACTCCTCCCCCTCCAACCAAGATTTGGTCGTCGTAAGGATTCCAGGATCCGACGGCCTTTTCTCGGTCCCAGTGGCGTCCCTCGTCCCACTCGATCTGTTTTCTCTCAACCCATATGATCCTGTCCTGTACTAATAGCACCCCTCCCCTCATTTTTTCCTCCCTTCCATTCTCCTAACACACACACACACACACACACTCTCGAATACATTTAATTATTGTAATAAAAAGAAAACGAAAATTGTAATTACCCGATAAAATTATATTTATATTTTTTTTCTTTTTTTTCTGTGTAATTAAAATATGTATAACTTTATTTTTTTCTTAATTATATTATTATAAAATTTACTTCCCGGTAATTCATTTAAACTAAACCCCTCCTCGTATTCTTAAGCTCGCCCGAGATTGCACTTAGCCTTCTCCCCGGTCACTCGGATTAAGTTCCATGACCGAAAGCCAAGGCATACGGCCGTACTGGCACAGCTGGCGTTAAAGTGCGCCCCTCTCGGCACACTGACCCAGTTTTGGGCCCTTTCTCGAAGTACGTCCGACTCGTGTGTCCGTTTAGCGGAGCACGAGCAGAGGATTCCGCTTCGTCCTCCGTTCGACCCCCGGCTCGTTAGGAGCCTCAGGACGAAGCGAAGCGCCTCCCGATTTGCGTCGGTCCTCCCCCACGGCTCCCTTGCGGTCCGGAGCCCGGACGCGACCAAATCGGTCTAACAATTCGGTTCCTCGTTACGTTCACCCCCTCAACTCCGCATGCGCGCGGAGTTTGGACGTAACAATGTGTTATGCATTCTCTACTTTAAGTACAACCAATAAATCAGTGCATGAAATTATATAGATATGATAAAAATATCATTTAACAGATAAATAGTATAGGCAGCCATAAGGCGTCAAAACAAATCCTCTCCACGTCTCTCTCCGGCACCGTGGGCGTGGTCTAGACGGGTCAGTCTAGAAAGCGGGCGCGCTCTGATTGGTCGAGGAGTGAAGGGTGGGGATAATAGGGTAATTAAATGGTGTGTTCTGATTGGTTCGCCCAATACTTGACAAAGATCTGATTGGTTCGCACCGTACCCATAAGGTGATTGGAGAAGGGGAGGTGGTAGAGAACCTCTGCCAAAATGAAGAGTAAAGTCTGAAAAAATGGTGAGTGGAGATTGGCACTGTAACATTTTTTGTTGCGAGAGCAGAGTACGAACACCGGACATGAATAGCGAGCTGTTTTATGATGGTCATTTTTTTTATTGGCGCGACACAGTGTCTCCGATGTATTGGCGTTTTAATGAATGGTTTTTATTTATGAGAAATGAGATCTTATACGAAAATTTGCGAGTCTTACTTTTGCTAAGAAGAATGCGGGAAGTAAAACAGGAACGAACTTGTTCAACTGTTGCGCCGCGTCTCCGGTGTGACGACTCATTCATTCGGCGAGAGTATGATTTTTATGATGTATGACAAGGATTTTATGAATTTGTATTGTATTTCTTGTACTTTATTTAAAAGTCTATGTTATATATATAACGGAAATATGCAGAGAAAAAAGTTATTGGAAGATATGAGTGATTAAGAAACGAGGGTTTATATTATACAGAAATGTATTTATTGATACATATTCTTTTTTTTCAAAGAAGAAGAAATACATAGTTCGCATGAGAATAAACTAAAAAAAAAGCTTTTAGAAAAATTAAGCTAAAGATTTTCGCTTTGAGAGAATTATATGAAAAATTTCGTTATAACTTAATGAAGATAATTCCACAAATATTATTGTTACGTCCAAGCTCCGCGCGCATGCGGAGCTGAGAGGGTGAACGTAACAAGGAACCGAATCGTTAGACCGATTTGGTCGTGTCCGGGCTCCGGACCGCAAGGGAGCTGTGGGGAAGGACCGACACAAATCGGGAGGCGCTTCGCTTCGTCCTGAGGCTCCTAACGAGCCGGGGGTCGAACGGAGGACGAAGTGGAAGCCTCTGCTCGTGCTCCGCTAAACGGACACATGAGTCAGACGTACTTCAAAAAAAGGGCTCAAACTGAGTCAGTGTGCCGAGAGGAGCTCACTTTAACGCCAACTGCGCCAGTACGGCCGTATGCCCTGACTTTCATGGAACTTAATCCAAGTGACCGGGGAGAGGGCGAAGTGCAATCGCGGGAGAGCTTAATAATACGAGGAGAGGTATTATTTAAATAATGACTACTGAGAGGTTAATTTTACAATGATATAATTTAAAAAAAACTGGAGTGATACAATTTTGTCAGGTAAATACAAATACAATTTTTGGTTTTTTATTCTTGGTTATGTGTAAGTAATTATGGAGGTGTGAGAGTGTGTGTGTAAAATATTGTGGTAGAATGGAAGGGAGGAATTGCGGAGAGAATAGCGAGAGGAGGTGAGTGGATTTGAGAGGGAAAAAAGGGGGAGGGGGTGGTATTAATACTGGGCAGGATCATAGGGATGGAGGGAGAAGGGGTCGAGGGGGACAAGGGACGCCACAGGAACCGAGAACAGGCCGTCGGATCCTGCGATCCTTACGACTACCAGATCTTGGTTGGAGGGGGTAAAATGGGCCATGTACTCTAGGAGTTGCTGGGCATCATGGAAAAGAAGAGGAAAGGAGACAGCGGCAGAGTACCCATTATATGAGATTATTGAGGGGGTGGTATCAATTGGAGGCGGTGATGGTGCGGGGGGAAGTCTGCAGGGGGAATCGGGGATGGATTGGAGATTGGGGAATATGAAATTTCGAGGGGTGAAGAGAGGGTTGCCAGGGGGAACTGTATGGGGGGAATCGGTTCCGAGACTGTCGGTTGACTTTGGTGGTGGAAAATCGGGCGCGGGCGGCAAGTCGGCGCGATCGGATGGTTCTCGTCAGGCGGTGGCGACGAGGGGCGAATGGACGACGTGAACGCACTAAAAAAATTTTATCTTTAACGTGGATCCTCAAAGGAAAAAAAAGGGGGAAAGACGGGGAAGGACCACTTGATGTAAAATAGTTGGAAACTTACTGGCGATGCAAGATGGCCCAACCGCGGAGAAGGTGGCGTCAGATGTTACTCAGCTTCGACGGACTTCCTCGATCAGGAAACAGGCTTTTGATTTAACTTGAATCCCGATGATTCAATTGACCTCACTGACTCTATCGGGAACTTTGAATATCGCGACCAACTCACTGTCTCTATCGGGAACTTTGAGTATCGCGATCAACTCACTGACCCTAACGGGACAAGTATAACTCCGGAACTTAGAGAAAAATCTGCTATCTGATGCAAGGGTTGCGGAACCGCGATTTTTATACTAATTGCCCCAGATTACTCAAATTTGGATTGGTGGAATAGGTTTCGTTGGCTGGTAGTAGGATTTTCCTTTGCTCTTGGATTGGTCAAGATTTTGGGGGAGAAAAGGATGTTGACAGGAATCTGTAGAGTGGGAAAGTGAAACTCCAAAATTGTATGACCTTAAGATTTATGGGGAAACGCGCGTCTCTGGCGCCGAGAAGGCGCGCATGCATCGTCGCCACGGGACCACCCAGAATCTATCTCTGAACGTCGTGCCGTTTCTTAAATTTTGTATTTCGGATTCGCGAGAATCGTCCGCGACTTGATCGTTAATCTTAGCGTTAATCTGGCCGGTCTTATGCTTTTCATACGTATTTATTATTGATTTTTATCTCGGAGCGACATTCACGAGGAGATACCGGATTCCTTGTTTTAGTTTTTAAGATAGAGAAAAAAAATGAAAGAAGATAAAACTTTAGTTTTTCGACGAATTGGAGATCTCTATGAAAGAAAAGAGTCGCATGAGTCCCCCGGACGTAACATTATATTGAAATATTATACATATCAAGAAAAGTCGTTAACTTGAGTACGTACATTACACTCAATATTTTCGTAATTATCTCGTAACGTTAATTTTATAATTTCCTAATTAATAAAACTTACAGGTAATTTCAGTTCGATTTCTTGAATTAAATAAAGCACATTTGTTAACATTATCGGATAAAGATTCTAATTGTTTTAAACGCGCATTATTTTATAATGCTTTGTAGTCCGAGGAAGGTAATTTCTGCATTACAATTGCCGCTACGTAAGATTCTCCGTTTCTTTGCCGGTGGAGTTGAATCGAGCGCGTCCTCTTCTTTTCAAAGATTTTCGTTGGAATTTTTCTCTTCTTCTTTATACGCTAGCAATATTGATTTTGCCTCGTAAGGTGTGATATAGCTGATGGTGATATTTTTTTATAACAATAAAGTTAGGTTTCACTTTGTAAATATTTATTCATGAGTCCCATGCGATTTTGAAACTGTTGCCAGCAGTCGGTGTCGAAATAAATTCTGTCCGCGTTATGTCCGTTCAATTTTACAAGAGGTTTGAAGATTCCTTCGTTCTTTGCAATCCTACGTGAATCGTCTTCATATGAGAATTGTTAAGACCACACGTTATTGCTAACAACGTATGAAATCGAGCGTTTCTTCTCTTGTCGTCGTCGTATCTTGAAAGAATCGGGGATGGAGTACATTCCCATGTCCGAATTATTAATATTTTTTGGACTGGCCATTGTTCTTACGGCGCAGTAATACCAAATTCAAATGAACCAAGATGGCAATCAAAAACACAAGGAGCACAATACTTGTTTACTCGCAAAGCTGAAGCGACGAGACTCGAATAAAATTTTTGATAGTACCGTTAACATCGCCTCTCCGACGCTACGTAATAAAATTATTCTGCGCGCGCAGATGAAAAAAATGAAAAAATATAAACCTTCTCTAAATTTTTCTTAAAAATTTAAAATAATCTTTACTCCACAGAAGTCAGGAAGGGAAAGGAGCGAGATAAAACGAGAACAGGAACAAAATGGAACGTTTTACTCTTTTGCTTTTTTTATAACATAACAGGGGGAAGGAATTTGATTAGCCGAAAAGAGAAAATTTTTTCGCAATAAATCTTAAGGAAAAAAGAATTGGCTTAGCTCGCGAGTAGTTTCTAACGAATAAAAATTAGTACATCAATAACCATCGAATTTTTTTTTAAAACAAGAAGAAATTTATGAAGAATCTTCGATTTAAAGTAAATTTACGATTGGGTTTATTGCTTTTTTAGAAAATTCGTTAATGTTTAAAGACAGAGGTACGACAAAAAAAATGTTGAATTGAGTTGGGTAATGGTAATGTAGGAAAATTTATTCGTCTTCCTTTTTTCTGAAACTTTTGTGTATACTCCCAAGGAAAAAAATAACGTGTAGTATACGGAAATTTATAGAATACAAAAATTAAATATTAGTTATATTAATAAACGTGAGGAAAGTTTTAAATGAAGAGAGTTATGTTCAATGTTTGTCATGATTTTTTCCTCATAATTAAGCAAATCCTGAAGAAGCGAAAACTAACAAAAACTAAGTAGTATTGCTGATCAAGCGAGATACAGGAATTTCTATTAAAATTATATTTTTTCTTTTGTTGAAAGATTTAATGTTTATTAGTCGTAGACTAATATAGCATGAGAATCCTTGCAAGTAAGAAGATACAAAAAAAAAACAAAAGGAAAAATGTAAAACGTAAGATTCAGCGTAACAATAAAAATTTTATAATGTGACAAAAACTTTTCTGGATAATAAATACTGAAAACGAGAGTTAAAGATTTTATTAGGGTAAATACGAAGGGAGCGATGCTTTTCGAGATAATTTTTATGGGAGAGAAACGCTAGATCAGATGGGGATGGTTATAACTAAGAAGTTTTTGTCGTCTCCTATTTCTCTAAATTTTATGAAAAAATCAGTTTTAATAAAGGAAGCGACCAATTACCAAAATTGTCAAAAATCTATCGGCCAATGAAGGGACTAGAAACTTTTAGCGATTCTTTTCGGGGAGAGGAATTTTATGAATATCGCTACGAGTATAAATAGCACGCACTGATCAAGCTAAAGTTTAGTGCGTTCAAACTCTGAAGTGGATTGATTTTACGCCAACTATTTGCTCATCGTTTTTAATTTCATATTAAAAAAATAGAACTTCGTGAGTTACTCAAATTTTTCATCGTTGTTAGCAACTTGAATAAAAAATTAGTTGCTGTCGATTATCTGACAAAGTTGTCAGATAATGGCGAAAAAAATTATTCTGTTTTCGGAAATTTTGTGGGTGAATGCTCCAGCATATTAGTGTGCATTATGCACTGGGGCATTACGGTGGTGACGAGAGATTGAAAAATATAATCGCTCGTCTAGAAATACGCGAGTGTTTTGGTCATGAAGAGGATGACGCTGGAGGTCACATAACTGACTTCAAGCAACGCACTGGACTAAGAGGTAAAGCAGTACAAATTTATAAAATAAAATCTAATATATATTAGCATTAAAAATTTACTTTATAATTAAATTATAATATTTATTTTATAAAAGCGAATTGTATATTATATTGTAAGACGAGCGATACCGTATCGCAGAGAGTGTCCAGTAGGACGATTTAGTTTAAGGCGACGTCACCCTGTGAGAGAAGAAAAAGAGGGAGTACCAGTGAGTAAGTTTTGGGGAAATAAATATTAAACGATTATAGAAATCTCAATTGTTAAAATATTTTATTTTTTTCTAGAGCACGAATTGAAGCGGAAAATAATATTCCGCTTCCGCGTGACGTTCTTGTCATCGTAATTGGTAAGTATTTTACAAATAATCAAGAAATCTAGTTCATATAATATAGATGTAATGCGATAAAGAATAAAATCAATTTTGTTTTAGATGATGATAATGACGACAATGATCGGAATGATGATTTGAGTCCGTCTGATTCGATACGAGTACTTTCTCGAGGTTTCATTATTTCCATAACGTGTAAGTTCTTAAAAAAAAATAAGTTAGTCGAATATAGAGAGTTAGTTATTATATATACAGAGTTCAAAAATAATAATAATAACAAAAATTACTTTTTAGCGCAGGAAATCGAATAAAAGCGGGAGGAATTAACGCAGGAAGAAGATGTGAAGTCTGAAGAGGAGGAAGAGGAGGAGGAGGAGGAGGAGGAAGAGGGAGCAAGGAGAAGGAGGGGAAGGAGGGGGATAATGAGAACATTAACGATGACAATGTCGATAATGGTATCGATGACGATGATAATGATGATGATGCCGATAATAATGCTGCTGATAATGAGGAGCAGGACAACACAAATTAAGGATAGCCTTGATGACAACAGCGATGATGGGGAGGAGAAGGAAATACGTGATGAGGAAGAAATAACTCAGGAGGAAAAAGAAAACAGATATTACGCACCTCTTGAAAATAAAGGTAATAATATTTTTACTTTTTATTTTTAATTTATTTGTTGCTCGAGATACTTAAGCAGATATTTTTATCAGATATTTTATACTCCCCTGTTCTGCCTATGTCGGAATATTAAAATTTACAAAAAAAGAAAAACATTATCTTCCCACGCACGATCATGTAAACAGTTACAGATGAGTTATCTTGCCATGCAGTAATGTTACGACTAGTAGTATAAGTTTCTGACTTAATATACAATATATATATATAGCAATATTATCAGATTAATAAGGTTTGTTTAACCTTTTTTTTACAGTACAAACTGGCGGTGGTGCTGACCGTTCTATATCGCGACATGCAAGGGAAGAAAACGCACCTTGGCGCATGTGAAGAAGAATCCTCGCAAAATTTCGAAAATTTCATCGACGATAAACATCAGCAGCAGCAGCAGTAGCAGCAGCAGCAATGTCAACAGGCGCATCATCATCATCAGGAGGAAAATAATCATCACAGGCAGGATCGTCATCGTCAACAGAAGGTTAGAGATAACTTTTATTGAGTTAAGGACGGAAAACTCGCGTCGGTTTAGGAATTTTGCTATACTACTAGAGAGGAAGGTGACTTTCTCAATATGTCCGCCACCCGAAGATACTGATATCATTCGTTGGATAGAAAGCGCATTCAGTAAAATTCGGGCGTATGCATTCGTACGAACCGAACGATTACATAGGATTATCGTTAGAGTCGGCGGATCTAGCGCGTGGTCCGACAGGTCTATCGTTTCGTCCAGCACGCGATTTAACTCATAAGGCAACTCGAGTTTGCTGGCGCAAAGTGCTGGAGGATTCAATATCGCAAAAAATTTTACCGTGTTTTCAAAGTCTCAGTACCTGCCGGTCGCGGGCGTCAATCTAATCGATTAACTCGCGAAGATGTAGCCAAACGCTCGATTTTGCAAATAAATAACACAGACAATTTGTGTTTTCCCCATTCGCTTGTAGTGGTACGCCTACATCAAGAGCGTGGGAAACTGCGTACGGGGGAACTGCAAGAAAGATGAGAATCTGTGAGAGACCAGCGTTCTTCGTTACAGCGTAAGGCCGAAAAATTAACGAAATCCGCTGGTATCACGATTCCCGAGGAAAGTTGTGGAATTCGCAAAATCGAGCAATTCCAACGGATTCTCGCATCCAAAAATATTGCAATTATGATATACAATTTTAGTACTTTCGGTCGAGGCGAGAATCCGATGTATGGCTGCGCGTTACTTTCCTCCCTAGATTGCGCACTCTCGTGTCGTTTAAATATTGTATAATGTGTAGTGAGGGTTCGCGACATTATAATCCTATATTAAATTTAAAAGCCGCCGCCGATTCTCGCAGAGGATATTGCGTAGCGTGTAACGTGAGCTTTCGTAACGATAGAGGTCATCGATGCATAAAAAAATGCCCACGTTGCTACGCCACCCCATCTTGCGAGTCTCCCCGACGTTGAGTTAAATTAAGTACGATTAAGTGCGATTCGTGCGTTCGCGTCTTCTTCGAGCGTCCGTGTTTCGAACGTCATCGAGCGGCAGAGATCATATAATCAATCCCTCGCAAGCATTTGTAAATTCATTAAAATTTGCAACGGTTGCAAGCGATTGGTTAATTCAAAATTGCGACGTAGTTTATTCCAAAACTTGTCGTTTGTTGCAGTCTTCGAATCATTTGTGTTACATGCAGCCTCTTTATCGTAAAACCTCAGTAGAAAACTCTGGAGAGGGTATAGGAACTATAGTGAGAAAATGCATCATGAGAAAAAACTCCGCAAACAAATACAAATGACATCGAAGACATGGACGAGCGTGTTACCAAAAGAGATCGCGTCGCATTCGTGTTTTATGATTTCGGAACGCGTCAAGACGAGACGCGCGAAGGAACGGAGAATTCACGTTTCAACTCTCTGCTTCACGCAACAAATTTGCGAAGCGTGCGCGGGAATAGAGGCCATGTCGTTGGTGTGAAGTGCGCGAATTCATATTTAATAGAAATCTTGTAAAAGAGTTTGTCGATTTCGTGACGCGACATCTAAATATTTTTAAAAAATCATCTGTATCGCGCATAATGCTAAAGCATTTGATGCTCAGTTTATTTTAAAGTATCTCGTTGAAAAGTCAGGAATAATAGAAGAACCTCGGATGATTTTGAACGGAACGAAAATTACCGTTATAACGATTGATCGTACAAAATTTATTGAGTTCAAATTATATACCTATGCGTTTATCCGAGTTACCCAAGGCTTTCGGGCTGCGGGATACTTTAGGTAAAGATTTTTTTCCTCATTTGTTTAATGTACTGCAAAATCAAAATTATATTGGACCAATATCTGACGCTCGATATTATTCGCCCGAACAAATGAAACCCGAGGAACATGAGCGTTTTATGGTTTGGCACGAGAAAATGTTGCGTTTGAATTTCGTTTTTGATTTCAAACAAGAAACAGAAAATATTGTCGGAATGACGTAGATATCTTTCGACGTGCGTGCATGGCGTTCAGAAAAATCTTTTTAGCGCGGAGACGTGTGTCCGTTCATAAAATGCATGACTATCGCTTCCACGTGTATGAAAGTTTTTCGCAAAAACTTTTTACGTGAGGAAGAAATAGGAATCATTCCACCGGGCGGATATAGATATAAAGACAATCACTCGCACAAAGCACTATAGTGGTTAGTGTAGATGGAGCGTGAGGAGGACATCTTACGTATCCATGTAGGGTGAGGCCGTGAGTATCGAATTGTTGTCGACGGATATTACGCCCGCCGACGGATATTATAAAGTCGAATCAGCGAACGAGATGTTACAATACATTACATGTTACAATTTCACGGTTGTTTTTGGCACGGTTGTTCCAACTGTTACCAAATCAATCGTGAAAGAAAACTTACGTCCGGGACGTCACGCGAAGATACAATCGACACTCGATACGAACGAACTTTCGCAATGACATAGCGTCTTCGACAACGTACGGATATAGGATGCAGAAATAGGAGTGTGAATTTGCTCGAAAAAAGCGCGAGAATCACGAGATGCACGATTTTTTTCGAAAACCATCCAATGTTAATCAACCCTCCTCTCCACCCTCGCGAGACATTCTTTGGTGGTCGTACGGAAAATATCGTAACCCAATACGAAGTTACGAGTACGGAGAAAATACGTTATGTAGACATATGTTCTCTAACATATACGGATACACCATATGGTATATCCGTACGTATTGAAAACGGGTATTTTTCCATTAGGCCAACTTACGATTTATATCAGAGAACAATGTTCGGAGTTAATTGGCGTAGCTTCGAGTTTTAATTTTGATTCTGTTGAAGGTATTATTCGATGCACAGTACTTCCTCCACGCGATCTCTTTCACCTGTACTCCCGTACCGCATACAAGGCAAATTGTTCGGGCTGTGTCGTAGCTGAACGTTGCTGCGAAACGTTCTCGCAGGCCGAGTGCACTCACGATCTCCCCGCCGATCATAAATTCATAGGTGCATGGGTATCCTATGAATTGCGCAAAGCCCTCGAGAAAAGTTATCTCGTGACAAGTGTGAGCGAAATATGACAATTTAGAGTCACATGTTCCTTGTACGAGGCAAGGTGATTTGTTTGCCAAATATATTAACAATTTTTTAAATTAAAGCAGGAAGCTAGCGGTTGGTCGAGCAAATGGATGATGAGAGTAAGGAACAGTACCTTCGGGAATACGAAAAAACTGAGGGGATTTGTTTTTAATAGAATAATATCGTCTGAAATCCTGGTTTACGTTCGATCGCGAAGCTCTGTTTGAATTCGTTCTGGGATAAATTCGGCCAACAATTTGCCTAATATAAAGATCGTAAAAAAATACGAATGTTTGGCAACGTTGCTCACGAGTTCAGAGCACGAAATAACCAATATATTACCCGTCAACGACGAGATAATATATGTTTCGTGGCGACTACGCGAAGAGACGGTCGCGTCTTCTCCGCAAACCAACTCTGTAATCGCGGCATGGACGACATCACAAGCGCGATTGATATTATACGAATATTTAGAGAAATTAGGTAGTCGCGTTTTATATTGTAATACAGACTCGTGTATTTACATAAACAGAAGCAAATCGAGCGAGTACGAATCGTGGAATTTTACGGGGAATTTTCTGGGCGATATGATGAACTCGAGAGTTATGAACGGGGCAGTTTTATCGAGTCGTTCGTGTCCGATGGCCCGAAATTCTACGCGTACGTTGTTCATATACCGGAAGGTCGCCGATATGAGATTTATAAAGTTAAAGGAATAACATTAAGTTATAAGAGCTCTTGAATTTAAATTTTAATAGTATTAGGAAATTAATAATGGATAATGAGAGAGAATGGCGCGATGAAGAAGAAATGGGAGAGGAGCAATAAATTTGTGTTTTAGTGCAATCCGTCGGATCGCGTTTCACGAAATCGTTACGCGAAACAAAGACGTGCGCACCGGTATTGGTAAAATTTATTAATAATCGCTATTCCCTTCCGTATGGTTTCAGAAAAGAATAACGACTTCTTCTTTTTTTTCTCTCATTTATACTTTAAGTTCGCAAGTTTTCCGCCTATTTGCATAGTATTTAAGTATTATATAAAAAAAAACTTAAATTTAAGTTTTTTGTAAATAATAAAATATAAGTATCTTTCTTTTACAAAAAAACATTTTTATTAAAATTTTATTGAATAATTTAATGTAAAAATGTAAAAATATAAAAATATAAATATTGTTTCTGAATAATTGAATTTTATGTATAAGAGTTAGCAAAAATATAATTAATATAAAAAAATTAAAATTATATATGTTTTCTTTTCTCCTTT